CCCTGATGAAGACGAAAGTTCAGCGCGAGAGATACCTTAGTATGCAAGCACGATTGGGATCAAACGATCAACAAATTAAATTGGAAGGGACAAACGAGAAGAAGATGAAGTGTCGATGGTCCGCCCCCCTCCTGAACCACCATCAAGAAATAAACGGGATGCTGGGGTTTGCGCACCTGCAATGTTTTTATTTTTTGGTGTCTTTTAGTATTCTGTTTTGTTAGCTTTCATAAGTACTTGTTTCTGCTTCACAATGCTGCTTTTAATAATGTTTTGGGTTAGAGGGGAGTTAGTTGGGTTGTTAGGGTGTATATAAGCCCGGTCAGAAGCTTTGTGACTCCGAAAGCTGTATTTTTCTTCTAAGCTCTCACATGGTTTGCGATTTGCTATATTCATCTGAAGGTGACTAAGTCTATGTCTAATCATAGAGTGAGAGGATCTTCGAATTTTGAGTCATGTAAGTGTTTGGATTTTAGCTCGAGTCTGATGTACTCTTTTGATGCGGTTTATTTTAATACTTCCTCCGGTCCTTAATTAACTTTACACTTTCCTTTTTGGGTTATCCCATATTAAACTTTACACTTCCTTATTTGCCTTATTTGGCAAACAAATCTACATCAAACAGTGCCAAACAGTGTCAAACAATGTACTCTACGGTAAAGTCAAATTTATTTCCTTAATATGTGTGAAGTCAAAGTGTAAACTTCATTAAGGACCGGAGGAAGTATATAGGTAAGTCTCTGATACCAATTAAATTGTCACGCCCCGGACCTAGCCGGACACGTCAACAACCCGCCGTACAGTACGAATAGTCAACCGCAGTCCAACTCATCCATACTATACAAGGCGTCATGAATATCATTCACACATAGTACATCCATAAACAAACATAATGTAAAACATTCATTTAAAACAGCGGAAGCATTAATACAATTGTTCAAGCCACACTTGGCATAACTAGGCATACAAGCCCCCAAAGTAATTATTCAAAAATAGTATCCATGAGCATTAACGTAATTGTTTTTAAAACAGAACGGAAGAAGCACGAACCACGTCTTCTCCCTTGAATATCCCCGAAGCAACGGGCGTCGGCAGCAACCTTCAAGTTCTACCTGAAACTGTGAGGTGGCCTCCCCCGTGAAGGGGAGGTCAGTACTTGGAAATATTTGACAAGTACAATAGCAACTATACCAAGTATAATCAACGTTTTAATTTCCAAGACCCTCAAAATAGGGTGATATCATAATATAAATAACAATTTATATTTCCCACTTATTATCTTTATAATAAGTGAATTTATTTATCTGTCGGCACACGGCCCTTCTTATATGTTCCTTTTCGTTTATCATTTGCACAACCCAACCCTTGGGTCTTATTATTTCTACGGGACTTGCTACCGCTGTCCGAGACCTCATGAGGCTCCCAGTTCGGACTCCAACATCCATCCCGCCTCTGGACTCATACCCATCATCCCGTAGGAAGGTAAGGCCCTTCGAGGTCCTATCTTATGTGTTACCGCTACCGGAACCTAGTTAGGTTTCCGATTCGGATTCCACCCTAACCCGTGATCACGATGTAAGTCCATGCTATCCAACCCCGCTCTCTAGAGTCGGGAAGGGCCATGGTCCTTACTATTTCCATAATTCGACCGGCTATCCACAAGGACTACCGAACACACCCGTAGGCCAATCCTATACTTAGGATCAATTTAATATTTGCATTATCTTGGGTATCCCTTAAGGCCTACCCCTAGTATAACTTAAAGTTCATACTTTCCTACCTTAAAGCATCTCTTAAGACTACTTAAGGCATAACATTTCACAATCCAACCTTAGGATCAATCTTAACAACATTTCATTTTAATGTCCAACTAGTATCTTAATACTAGTCAAATTAATATCAACAAACCAAGTTCTCAACTCATAGTCGGTCGTATAGACAATTCCAACTAATTTTCCTTTGAAAAATATCATTTATCTCAATATTCAAAATATCACTTTTAATCACTCATATATTCTAATATGAAGAAAAAGTATATTTCAACATATGTTTCATAATAAATTCCACTTTCAAGTCAACATACTCATAACACATGAACATACACAATTTACTCTTAAATTTGTATATCATGCTCCCTTTTTCTTTAGACATTTAGTCTTTTCATTTTTAGGCATTATTAAACATTAATAATCCACAAAAACACTTTTAATTACCTTCGGTAATCTCATGAAATTAACTCACTAATTATAAGCAATATAGTCAGCCATCCTCACCTTATGATGTGCTCAACTAGCTGCCTTAGCGAAACCCCCTCGATCCGTCCTCGTTCTAGGCCGTTCAAGAGTGGAAAATCTGGGAATCAAGCGAAAGCCGGGCGGCTTTCGTGAAAGCCGGGCGACGTTCGTCCTCCTGCAACACGAACATCTTCCTATATGTGGCGGTTTCCGGCGATTTCGACTCCTATCGATCCACCAACTCTTCTAAGTTAAATATCACCACTTTATATCAATATTCTACACTTTTAAACGTGTAGAACATCATGTTTAATCCACCATATGATTTCTTATAAATCATACAACAATAAACTAGTTAACTAATAGTTGTGGAGTTCTTACCTTGAACTCAACTATTTCTTGCGGATTTTTCCTAGCTTTTTCCCTCCCTCCAACTAAGGCTTGAGCTCTGGCTTTTCCTGGAGTTCCTCCTCTTGTTCTGGCCGAAAATGATGTGAGGGATAGGGGAGGAGTATCTCCACACAACCACCCTCAAGATAAGCCAAGGAATGGGACATGAGGTGTGAGTTTTTGTCCCTAGGAGGCTTCCCATCCTCTAGTCCGCACCAACCATGTTTGGTTGTCCCTCCCAGCTCCCATTCAGTCCATTAGTGTACATAAAATCGTGGGGTGGCCCCCACTCATGTGGGAGGTCATTCGGTTATGTCCCGGTGTGTACAATCGGCCCCGAAAGTTGTATTTTTCGGACTGTTTTAATCCTATTTTATTTTATCTGGCCAAATAAAATATATGACGCGTGCCCAAAGGTTATGGGCCTTTAGAGTAGATATACATTCCCCACATTAATTTAGGAGTCTCCGAAACTCATTTCGGGCTGTTATCCGCTAAATTACCAATACCGGTAATTGGGCCCCGTTTGACTGACCGGTCAACTCCATGCCTTTCTTATGGCCCAAATAGAATATCCACCACCATATAGATGTCATCTAGACCAAGATGAATATAATATGTGGTTCGGGAATTATCGGGCGGTCTCCGTTCCCGCTGTGGGCCCCACATGCAATTTACTATTCACGTAAAAGAAATAATAAAAATTTACAATTACGCAAATTCATAAATCATCTTTCAAGGTTTATTACATAATTCACTAAAAGTAAATATACCCGGGGTCGGTGTTACAAGTGTCATTTTTTTAGTGGACTATTCAACAAAATGCACCACTACAATTACAAATAAGGGTGGTACCATAGAAAGACCCTTCAAATATATGTATCATACAAAATTACACATGTATATATATGCTTTATACATATTTAAAATTTATGGGGCCTTGTGAGTTGTGAAGACATGAACACTTGGTGAGAGCCCCTTTATCTATGCCATGGGACCTGCCCGGGAAAATGGCGTGTTGATTTTCCTTCGCCACATTCATAATGCATCTCGGCATCCAAAGTAATACTGTTTTGATATTGTTTGGACACTGTTTAGCATCGTTTTGCACTGTTTTGATGTAGATAATTTGTCAAATAAGAAAATGTATGGTAGTGAGAACTTAATTTTGGGACATCCCGAAAAGGAAAGTGAGAACTTAATTTGGGGACGGAGGGAGTATATACTATTTCAATCATGCTTGATGTATCCACCCTTATACCCACCTTATATCCATCCATGTTTGTGAAGATTTTTTTTGTTTGTGAATCCAGTTCACAGACAAAATATGTGCTATTTTGTCTGTGCAAATTTTGCACAAACAAAATATTATCCGTGAACGGAACTTACAGACAAAAAAATCCTTCACAAACATAGGTGGGTATAAAAGTGGGTATAAGAGTGGATACAAATATCGTTTTTGATACTATTCGGTGACGAGGCTATACTAGTGAAGTTTACTTGTTTGTAACACATATTTAGTTCAAAGTAATTCATATTATGGAGTGACGAGAAACTTTGATTTATATATTTAACAAAATGTCACCTCATTTTTAGCTTTTAGATTTGAAATAGGTCCTCTTGATTTGTTTGCTTTTTGTACGAGAAAATGACTTTTTATGTGTATCAAAACCTCCACGCACACATGTGGAGAGTTCTCGAGAACTCTCTTAAAATGAAAGTGTTTCTAAAATGAGAGTTTCTAATCTTTATTTTTCATTTTACAATCAATAACTAATATAAACAAGTCACCTTTTTATACTCCCTATACATTTAAATTTAACTTCACGTTTTGACTTTTTGAGTCCAACTTTGTTAATTTCACCGTTAATTAGTCAAAAACCACATTAGTTTGTAGTACCAAAATAATTTTGAGTGCTTCATTTTAATATACAAAATTGAAATGTTAGTTTATTTTAAGTTTTATAAGTGTATATTTTTATATATCAATGATCAAACATTAATATTAAAGACCTAGAAATGTTAACTGTGAAGTTATTTTTGACACGGATGGAGTAATTATTTAGGATCAATTGCAAAAAACCCAATTAGAATTTATGATAATTTTGAATATGACCTAGGAACACTAAAGACGTTTTTACTTGGACTGTAATTTGCTGGTCTGGTCTAGTTTCTTTGTATTTTTATAACTATCCAAGTCTGGTCTGGGCTGAACTGTTCTGGTCTGATCTGGTATGGGAGGAATTACAATCCAAGTAAAAACATCCTATGCATCGATAAATAAAATATTGAGATTAAAAATTCTCACTGTAAGAAGTTTTATTTGAGGAGGGGTTCTTGGAACCCTCCTCTATTTATATGAACCATTTATATATACTAAGCATTGTGTGTTCCATAGTTTCTTGGAAGTGCATTGTAAAATGATTGCTCATTGATGGTCTCCATGATAAGATTTTATATGAGATTAATTAGCTAGTTGATATAAAAACATCCTCAGTTTTTTCTTCTGCACTTCTTCTTTTCCTATCCAAATACAGCATGGAAAATAGTATTGGAATGAATTTGGAGAGAAACAAGGCGATCATCAATGAGCTAACTCGGGGCAGAGATTGTGCAGTTCAGCTGCAAGGCCTGATTGAAGAATCATCATCACCAGGTACCTGTGAGCTGCTACTGCTCAAGAAAATCATCTCTTCCTGTGATAAGGCAATAATAACACTTCTCAGTTTCAACCTTTTCTGTGGACTGCCTGATTCCATGGATACTTCCTCTCCTCCTCTTCTGGGCAACAACTCCCCTGTTAGTGAACTCTCTGATGCAGATTCTTCAAAACAGAACTGCCAAGTGGCCTTTTCCAAGAAAAGGTATTCATGGCTTTATCCAATATCACTTATTAGCTCATTTATAACTCAATCATTTTTTTCAAAACATGAGATCTGAATTCTGTTCTTAAAAAGAATCAATCATTGTTGCTCTTCAATCGGCGTGTTTGCGGTTAGCAGATAACGAATTATGTTAGCGGATTGTTGGGGTATGTTTGGCACAACTAGCTGAAAAGATACTTTTCTGAGCTTTTTAATAACTGTTAGCTTTTAGTGACTTAAAAGATCTTACGGAGAAAAGTTGATAGCTGTTTGGTAAAAAGTTGACTGTTTGATTTAGTTCGATTTGGTATACAAGCTGTTAGGACTAATTAATACTAAAAGTCACGGACTTTTTTCAGATGCTACTCCCTGTAGCATCTCAAAAAAGATCTTTTAATTTTTGAAAAACTCTTAAATATTGTCATATCAAACATATAAGTAGAAGCTTTTAGAGATTTTTTGAACAGTACAAAAGCTAGAAGGTAGTTAGGTAGAGACTTAATAGCTGATTCAGTTAGTGAATTTGACTAGCGGAAAAAGTTCGTGGGTTGCAAAAACATGTTTGGTAATTTAGCTGTTTGGTCATAGCAATTAGTAGAAATGACCTACTTCAAAACGCTAACCCGAAACGTCGTTAAATTTCGGTGATTCCGTCAAAAAACGTTACAGCTAAACAGGCTATTTACCAATCACTCATTTAAAATTCAATCTTCACATTCATTATATGGAATTGCAGGAAAACTTCTCCACAGGCTACAGAAAGTGTCCGTGTTTGCTCAGCCACTAGTTTAGGAGGCGCCCTTGATGATGGTCATCGCTGGAGGAAATCCGGCCAGAAAGATATTTTGGGGGCAACCCACCCTAGGTGAGATCCCTCTCCTATGTCACAGAGGACATGTCCTCTATATTCTCAAGGCCTTTGGGATCTTTATGATTGGTTTTGACTTTGTTTTTACATGGTTGACTTTTCCATGAATTCAGAAAGATTCATATTGTCCGAGTAGGAGTGAAGAAGGTTCCGAGTTCATTAATGAGTGTATAGTTTTCTTGGTCCTAGGATTGGTAGCGTTTGTCCCACACGTTTCATGTTTTGTTTTCTTTTGTGATTTTTGTACTCTGCAAAAGTTTTGGATTCATATTAAAGTGGACACGGTCCCGATTCCAAAATCAAACCAGATGTGAGAACAAGAATTCAAACTTTTCTTTTTTAGTTTTCTCAAAATTTTATCATTTTACCAATAAAGCAATTAATTTATTGTAGTTATGCTCATTTCTTTCTATTCTGCATAAATTTTTACGATATGGTTTTCAATTTTGTTATTACTCAGATAATTCAAAGTTGACAAAGTCCAATGAGATTGAAGCAATACATCACACTATTTATATATTTGCACAGTGTACTCCATTTTTTCAATATCATGCATTTAGGATTTTTATTAGAGAAATGCAATATACTTATTAACTTGTTATACTTATAATCAATTGATGTTGTACATATTGAGCCCATTTAGTAATTACCCGAAAATTGACGGAATCGGCTGAATTTGTTAAAATTGGTGAAAACCTAGTTGAAGTGACATAAATGGAAATATGTTGAATTATATATATATATATATATATATATATATATATATATATATATTATCCGCTAAATTATAAAAAAGTATATTAAAATATATTTGTTAATAAACTAAAGAAAACATTATATTTTTGATAAAAGACTCATCACCAAATGGAGTACATTCACCGAGAACAGTACCTTCAATCATATTAATTTTGATAATTAAACAATTCATTTCGTGAAATAAAAGTTACACGTTTGACAAAAAAATTAGCTGATAGTTAAGGCTCATAATTAAAAAATACTCCTCCGTCTCGCTAAGATTGTCCCATTTTACATTTTCGAGAAATCCCACTGAGATTGTCACATACCAATTTTTGAAAAGTTTGTGTGTCTCTAAATCATTTTTACTTTATTCTTACTTTATCAATTTAATATCAACCACACAAACACACTTTTCTTAATAATCGTGCCACTTTCTCTTGTCCCAATCTTAGTGGCAAAGTTCACAGGCACGGAGGTAACATTTGATAAGAGTTCCTCTCATGTTTACTGAAAAGTGCACAATTACTTGTATATCATAAGTGGAGCAATAATTTCAAACTAGCCTAATAAAAGTGCAGACTAATGTAAATAAAACTACATGCATACGAGGTTTTACATACACTTAAAAAGAACAGATTATTGTGCTAAAACATCCACTCAAACTGTGTCGGGCCTTTTTTGCAGGGCATACTACAGGTGCACTCATCGCTTCACAAAAGGTTGTTTTGCTACAAAGAAGGTTCAAAGGTCTGATGAAGACCCTTCTCTTTTTGAGGTCACATACAAAGGAATGCACACTTGTATTGACTCTTATCCATCATTGATACAAAACCCTCAGTTCAAGCACCAAGAATCAGAGGAAAACCATGACTTTATTCTCAACTATGGACTAGGCCAAACACTTGACAATGCAAATGACATCTTTCCTCAGTTCTCTTTCCCTCCGTCTCTGAACGAGAAAGAAAACGAACTGCTCGGGCCGTGTCACCCGCCACCTTTCGCCTCTCCGGCATTCTCGGAGGAGTCGATGGACTTGTATTTTTTGCTTGATCAACATAACGAAGATCTTGGACTTGGACAAATTTTGGACGAGTCAGAATCAGATAATAATCTTATGATGCCAACTTCATCTTCTGTTACAAACACCCCATTCTTTGATTGGGATATGTCCTTTGATGCAGCTGAGTTCTTGGAGAACTTCTCATGACATCTTTTTAGTGTTCTGAATAGGCTGTCTATAAAATTCAACATGTTTGCTAGGGTCAAATAAGTGCGCAGGTTAATGTCTGCAACAAGGGAACCATCTATATGTTTTCCAAATGTATAATTCGTTGTAGTTTTGCTTCTGCAATATATTATCAGCAGCCACTTTCACTCGATTCAATTACTTTATTACTTATTACTAGTAATAAATATTACAAAGAATCAATTATGTTCAGTAGACACAAGTCGATACTAGCTCCGTCCTGCTATGATTGTCCCGTTTTACCGTTATCGGTCCGTTCCTGGCGTCCCACTAAGATTGTCTCATACCAAATTTGGCAAAGTTGTGTGGCTCTAAATCATTCTCACTTTATTCTTACTTTATCTATTCAGTATCAACCACATAAACCACTTTTTATTGATTTGTGTGCCGTTTCCTCTTGTTCCATTGTTAGCGGGACGGAGGAAGTACATTCTAACTTTTTGACTATTTAAAATGTTTCAAAATGTTCTTAAATGCATGCTTGGTACAACACGTTTTGGGAACTGTTTTAAAAATTAAGATCTTTTCTAGACACTCTTAAATACTCTGTATATGGTGCATTTTGGAATAAATACAATTTCAAATAGACACATTTTTTTAATACCAAACATGGCTATATCAAAGAGTAGATATATGGAGTCCCATGACTCCACAAGGAGTCATATGCCGGGCTCTTTAAATTTTTGCTACATCAAAAGTCAAATTTTATTAAGAAATAATTGCTCCATACATATATGACTAAAATAAATATTATTTATAAAAATGTGACTAACGACTAGAGTAGTAATGGAATCATTGTAACTTATGTTCAATTTTTAAACACAAATTATTATGACACTACATTGTAGTATTCCGTAATTATTAGTCATATTTGTGTAAATAAATTTTATTTTAGTAATATTTTAAAAAAAAAACAATTCTTTTTTATTAAACAATTATAATCTTTTCCATTTAAGAACTGTTTAGTTACAAAAAGTTAAGAGCTTTTTAAAAGGTAAGAAAACAGCTCGTTATGCCAAAATTAGAAAACAGTTCGAAAACAGCTTTTGATAGTAATATTAGAAAACAGGAAGTATATAAGTACTACATCCGTCTCAACTTAAGCTTGTCGTTGAACAAATGACACGATTATTTAGACGATAATTAAATACTACCTAAGATGATTCGAGTATACTTTGTGAAATTAGATATATTATTTTTATCTGATGGAGTTATGGGACTAGACCCAGAGCTTAATCAGCTTAAACCCTGAATTTGGACCCATGGATCTAAGTCCACAACCTGGAGCCTGCCTGTCAGCCAGCGGGGAGCCTGCCAGTCCGGCCGACCTCCCAGCCCGGAAGAGTAATGGTCAAGCAATTAATGCGCTATTTAATTATGTATTTAATTTCGTATTAATGTTGTAATTAATTAGTCATTATTATCGGCAGCGGTTACGCCTATAAAAGGCAGCTTGTAATTCAAATTAGGGGAAGCGACTTTGAGAAGCTATTCTTGGCAACTTAACTTCTTTATAACTTTCCATTTTCGTATTGCTTTCTTGATTTCCTACTTGAGTGTCGTATGTAACTTTCCTAAAATCCTACGAGCGTCATATTTTGGATCAACATTGATGCTTTCATTGAAAGTCTCTATTTTCTCTCACATCTCTAGTAGGAATTAAGTAGAAAATTGCAGAAAAAATGGAAATTCAAAGGTTTCTATGAGTTTTTCATGTCTGAAATTCAAAATCTGAAAAAAGCATGAAAAAATGGTCTCGTAAAGCAACGGGGATCTGGATGTAGGCCAGCAACCAACGTCCACGAGGAAGACAGAAAAAATTTAAGATGGATCTCGGAACTATACTGGACGGCAACGCAGCCCAGCTACGCCGACCCACCTCTGTCACATTGGTGCCTGCCTCGCTACCGATGGCGCCGCAGCCGTGTCGGTCGCCCTCACAGCTGGCGATTGGAGCTTGGGTCACGCTTACCTCCTCCATGGTCATGTACTCCGGTTGCTGGAGCTCAACCTCAAATATTTGCCATTATTGGAGGCGAGAAGCTGCTGGAAGTAACAATGCAACCCATCGGAATCGATCCTCACAACAGCAGACCCAACGCCCCTAGTCCGCTCTTCGATGACCTCCAATTCAACGAAGAAGACCGCCCAGCTGTACCAACCGGTGATCCGTACGCGAGGACCATCGAGTTTGACGACGGAAAGGACCAACGACCTGCTCCTATCCTCTCACTTCCCCGAAAATGACTGTGACGGCAGCGCATCCCTTATGGCCAAATGCTCAATGTCTTGGTCTCCATATTTGGCGGCGGTAGGAGGAAGGCTTGGCAAGCATGGTCAATTATTAGATTGGTCTAGTTGACCGTATAACGGCAGGGCAAAAGAGACTTTGAGCCAAGTGGGAGCAGTGGGCTGGATTACTTTCGGTCAATTAAATTTTTCAATGGGCTAGATTCCAACAACACACCAACTGTCAGCCCATCAACAAATGACCCAAATAAGAGCTAAGTATCCAAATATCCTCTATATTTGATACAAAAAAAACATTTACTGGAAAAAAATCATAAATTGAAACATTTGAAAAGATATTTTAAGTGATATGATTGCTTTTACTCTTATTAAGTGTGTGTAATTTTAACATTGAACAACGGATTTATGAAATCTAATCACTCAAGTACGTCGGACGAGCACACACTCGTACACTGGCCGAGCACACACACTCGCGCCACCGGGTCACATCATATGGGTGTGACGGTTAATAAGCTCCAATATAAATGTTAATACCACACACTCTTGACTTCATACGAGTTCTCGTGTGCTCTTACCCCTTCATAGTGCATCACACTCCGACCTCGGGGGACGATTCACCCGTTCAAAAGTTTTTACTTGCGGGTTCGAAATACTAACCTCGGGCGGCGAGTTAAACTCTTGTTAGGGGCCTGCAACCACGCTCTTCTGAGCAATTTTGTCACTTAATTGACATTCTCATTTCTCGAAAAGGTTGATATACTTTAGTTCTTTGGGGTTAGATTATCTGTTCGAGTGAGGAGTTCGACTCACTTACTCGCGGATTCAATCTTTCTCTCGGAGACTAGGTTGAAGCCTAACTTGGGAACTTGATGTCACTCTTTTCAAGTAGTGAGTCCGACTCACTTACACACTGAGCCATTGTTCGACACTAGGCCAGATGCTCTATTCTACACTAGTTTCTTTTGTGTGTATGTAAACCTGAATGAATTGGGGGACTGAGGGTCTTACCGTCTTCAATGAAGCAAATGACGAATCTGACGAGTCTGAGCCTGACGAGAAGAACAGTTCTAGCCATCGTATTCGCAGATGGCCACAATTGCAATAAAGGCTGAAAATCTCACCTCTTCGTTCATCTTGGGGGTATCAAATGTACTCTTTTTCCCTTCATTAGGACTTTTTCTCGTTGGGTTTTTTCCTAATGAAGGTTTTTAATGAGGCATCTCCCCAACATGGACACGGGCGGGGATCTTCTAGTATCAGAGAAGAGCAACTGACTTGGACTACTCCCTCTTAGCCTAGTCTACTACTCGACTAAGGGAGTGGGGGACTCGTGATGAAGTTATGGGACTAGGCCCAGAGCCTAATCAGCCCAAGCCCCGAACTTGGACCCGTGAATCCAAGTCCACAGCCTGGAGCCTGCCTGCCAACCAGCGGGGAGCTTGCCAGTCCGACTGACCTCCCAGCCCGGAAGAGTAACGGTCAAGCAATTAATGCGCTATTTAATTATGTATTTAATTCCGTATTAATGTTGTAATTAATTAGTCATTATTATCGATAGCGGTTACGGTTTGTATACGCCTATAAAAAGCAGCTTGTAATTCAAATTAGGGGAAGCGATTTTGAGAAGCTATTCTTGGCAATTTAACTTCTTTGGAACTTTCCATTTTCGTATTGCTTTCTTGATTTCTTGTTTGAGTGTCGTACGTACATTTCCTATTTTGGACCAATATTACCATTTGATGATTAATTTGTCATTTATGAGTGCTAATTATTTCTTAAAATAGAATTAAAAGGATTTAGCTGGAACGTCCAAAAAAGGCAAACGAGATGCTTAGGATATTAGGAACTCCAAATTCCTCTAACAACTTTGATCCATCGGGACACGCAACAGAAAGCGACCATAGACCACCTGTTTCGGAACAAGAAGATATTAGGGACTTCAAATTCAACAGAGCGATTTGCTACAAATATAAATACATTACTTCGGATAACTGTCTTCCAACAGACAACTTGAACACTCAACTCGAAATTTACAGGAAACCCAGAAGAACAAAAAGCGCCACAACATGAGGACTAGATCTCGGTCTAAACAATTTCCTTGGGCTTAATTTTTTTATTTTATTTTTTATTTCCCTTTTTGTCTGTTGTGTAATTTTTTATCAATAAAATCTTCAATTTATAAAAAAAAAATGAGACGAAAGAAGTGTTTTTTTTTGAAAGAATTCAGGATTGAGTGACGCAAGCAAGGTACAATTTTTATAGAATTGGTCTCTCAACTGCACCCGAGACACTTTGGCCAAACAGCTAGTTCAGCCGAAGGTCTTAGGGGATGTTTGGAACTGATTCTCATTCTGCTTCTTTTTTAAAACCAGAAGCAGAATCAGAACCAGGTTTACAGAAGCTGGTCTCCCCCAACTTCTAAAAACTGCTTCTAAGAATAATTTGGAGCACCCAAAAATACTTCTACACTTTCACCCAAATACCTCAATATCTGCTTCTGCTCCTTCAGGGAGCAGAAACAGTTTTAAGAAACAGGTCCAAACACCCACCTTATTAAGTCATTATTTTCTCATTACTTGTCTGATGTGAAACTAACGTTTCTAGTACAATAAAATAATGACCTTATACTTCATTAAAATGGTTGCAGAATCTTTTGGCACATTCCAGACTATCCAAAAGTATCATCTTATAGTCATATTTGTACTCAAAACCTGCATCTTCCAGCTTTCTTGAATTCCACTTTATATCCCTCCTTGTATCCTCAATGAACCTGACACAATAACATTCATTCAAACATCTAATAACATAAAGGGAGCTTTTACAGTAAAGCAATTGCACTCACTCTTGAGGGATTGTGATGGCAGGGAAGTGATGCTGATAGAAAGACGCAATCTCGGCGGACTTTAGATAGGAATTTGCACAAAGAAACCTGCCATTAATTTCTGGGTTTTCCATGCAGAAAATGTGGGCTGCAGTTACATCTTCCAAATGTACAATTGGAACTTTTCCAACCAACTCCTCTAAAAACCTCAGCCCTTCATACCTTTTTTTGTCATTTGTAACTTGTGAGACAAACAAACCCAAGCTTTCTGGCATCCATGACTGGAGCGTTTCACGGCCTCCAACAGCGCCAGTAACAAGAGAAACAACTTGTATGTCGCCTTTCCCATTGTAGCCCAACACTTCTTTCTCCGCTAATGTCTTTGATCTTGCGTAGTCCTATATATAATGCATCAAAAAACTTGTAGTCTAAGACCAAGTTTGTTAAAGACAGGGGTGCCTTGTTATAAGAGGTGTATAGTGTATACTCCAAGCCATAGGTATGGTTGTGAAGGATGTGGGTCCCTATGAAAAAATGCAGTCAAGATGAAAGTATCAAAACACAGGGATGTGTGTGTGTTTTATCCAATGGGAAAAACTACAGAATCAAACGCGAGATAAAAGTGTGTGTTGAATGGTGTTTTGCACAAGCTAAATATTAAAAAATCACAAATATACCATTGAACTGTAGGTCTAAAAACAAAAAGTTCAGGGGTATATATATTCCTTGAAGTATAGTCAAGGGGTATATATTGTCAATGCTATATTTGTTCTAATTTACAATTTTAGTGTTTAAATGTTCCAAAAAGAATGGGATAGATATATTTGTTTTTCGTCCTATAGTTCACGGGATTTGTTCCCTCTCCCTACAAGAAACACATGAACCCCAAAATAGGTCATCCCATTTCATGAGAGCTATTTGGGATTGATTAAGGTTCAAGTGTTTAACCTTATTATTAACCGAGTTGACCCAGATCGTACTAAAGAATGTCACCCTAGTAGAGACATAAAATACATACTTGTTAAAGTATTTGTCCCACACCGGAAAGCTATAAAACAATAAAACACTATTTTTAAGACTTTGAGCTACTCCTATTAGGTTGAACTTTTAGGATGGAACCCTGAGTCTTAATAATACTCCGTCAATGAATACAATAATATGAGAAGAAGACATACATAAAACGTACCACAAATGAATCAATATGGTAAGGAGTTGGGAAATCAAAAGGAGTCCAACAAGTCTCGTCCATGGTGTCCTTAAAACATGTTGCATTGTCCCTCAATGGAGATGCAGCCATCACAGTGGCTGTGTAAATAAGTTTCTTTACAGTCCCCGATCTTATACACGAATCCGCAATGCTCCTAACTCCAGCAACAGCCGCCTCCAACATATTTTTGTACTACATAGTTGATTAAATCATGAACAGCCTAATTAACTTGATGCAAAATGTTGAGAATTCTCTTAAAATTGATCTCGTTTGAGTTTCATCCATGCCAAAATGAAATCAATGAATTCCACGTTGTACAAATACAATGGTAGCAATGAGGCTTTAAAAATATTATTGAGATCGGACTAAATAAAAAAGAAATACTACATCCATCTTTAAAGAGTCTCATTTGTAACACTGAAAATGGTATTACAAACACATTCTTTGTAAGATAGATGGAGCTTTATATTTTAACACCGCTCCCGGTGAGTTTAGCTCTTCTCGAAGCGATTAATTAATTGTTACAATTTCGTTTGTAAGTGTCTATTACAAATAAGACAAAACCAACATATCCATTATGTCATTTTGGTGTGGTCAGGGTGAAATGTAGGTAGCTCAGGGAGTAGAGTTCCCAACAATTGAAAACTGGAAAGTAATTCTACTATGCAAATTAATCTTCAGTTCTTCACTACGTCATTACAGTTGTAAATTAACCAAGAAAACATAGAGTATGGGTTAGAATCTAGACACTTTTTTTACTAAGCCAATTTATTGGGGTGAAATGTTTGAACTTTTAATTTTTGTCAATTAGCTCACAATCGCCTGCCGAATCTACCACCTTTCTGCTAACGTGAAATCGTCCATGACAACTAACATAATAAGCATCATGCTTTTCCTTATAGAATTTTAACTTTAACATATCAATATTAATTATTAAACCATAAGTCGAATTACATCTGATCTTAAAAAAAACCAGCAACAAAAAAGAACGGTAGAAGTATATTCAAATAAAACAAGAGGACACATAGTCAAATTAAGGGTAAATATAAAAAGACCTCAGTGCTTTGTTGGGTGTGCTGCAAAGGAGTAGCCATATGGACCACCACTTGACAACCTCTAATGGCAGGAGCAAATTCATAAGGTTTGTATACATCTGCCTCAAACAACTTCAATTTCGTTTCTGCATGAGGAAGTTCCTTCAAAAGTCCCACCTTTGTTGGATCACCTACTCTTACAAAAGAAACTCAAATCTTTAATTAGGTGTCGCTCCTAATACATAATACAGAAAAAAATGGGAGTTTTCTGGTGAGGCAGGGTGTACTTGCAAAATAAAATCACCTAGATTCCTGAGAGTTGCATGGACTGTATAGCCCCTCTCCAACAATGTCTTGATGAGAAACGAGGCAAGGTAACCAGCACCTCCGGTCACACAAACAATCATCTTCAACTCTTATCCTAAATCCCTCCCCTTTATAAATGTACTTGCGTACTAATCGATATACTGCTATTCTCTGAAAGTTGTCATGCTTATAATAGTAAAGCTAAAGTGCAAAGTAAAAAGGAAGATGAATGCATGGTGAGTTTAACTCTAAGCATCTTCAATGGGAGGGTGAGGTTTTTTATGGGACCCAACTTTTATTTCACAATTTTTATGCAGGACCTGCATGTTTCCATATTTCATATAAATTTATTTTAAAAATCACAATTAATCCAGTTTTTCTCCTCTAACAACTAGATCCACAAATGGATCTTGTCAAACATGAAAATCTTAAATTTATTTATCTCTATCCTTTTCATTTTTCTATGAAAGGAGCTCCTACCTGATATTCTTGTTCTTTTGTTCCTAATTTAGACAAATCTGATTTCAACCACTTAATTTAGGAAATAAGAAATATGAACTTGTATTTTTGAAACGAAGGTTTTTGAATAGAAGAAAAGCATTACTCTTAGAATTATTAAACTGTTACATTCTTTTTTTAAACCCGGTAGGCAAACCATCCATCGGTGGAGTGAATGCTGGAAAACATTCACAGGAATTTATTAAGGTTAAAAAATATTACACGACTCGGTGAGGGGGACTAGACCAAAACCCCACTAGAAAAGGCATACCATCTCAAATATCATGAGAAAAGAATATCAAACAAAAACAGGGGGGGGACCAAACCCAATTAAAAAGAAAAAGGCAATCAATATCTCAAGTGTGGAAAGCCAAATAAACTAGAAAAATAGGAAGAGCCAAAATTTTAAAAAGTGATGCCAAATTAAAAAGTTCTACTCTAACTTACAGTTCAACTTCATCCATCTGAATAAGTGATGCCAAAATATACTTATTTGTCGTATCAACTGCTTCTTACATGGTATCTGCCTTTAGTACCATACAGCAATGTATACCAATAGCAACCAAGGTAACAAATTTAGAAGCCTACATTGGTCACAACTGCTTATTCTGAAGCCAAAATTTCCATTTATAAACATATGATATTGATGAGTTGAGCATGGTTTTAGTCTCTTAAACTAATCATCAAAAGGTATGCAGAAGATTGCCCAAGATTCATGAGAAACACTGTCTAGTGCACTACTTTGCAGCTCATCTTGGGCTTCTTTTGATAGAATATTCTGGGCTTAAGCTAACCTATTACGGAGTAAAACAATGTCCTCCTTTGCATCACAGACAAAATCTTTTTGATATGCCCCGAGAAAGAAATCAAGCAGAAGCAATAGATCTTTTTCTTGAATTGAATTGAGCCTCAGGAATTACTTTGATTGTACAAGGCAAAGGTCCTACACATATTTTACATACAACACAGCCATCATAGCTGGTGTCACTTGATACAACCCAAAAAGCTCATTCTTTTTTTTTAAGATAATTGAAATTGAAATTCGAAATAATAATAGCTCAACAACAAACTTAAGATCGAGTCATTTGAAACTATAAATAATCAAAGAACGGAGTTTAAAACTTAATCAAACATGAGGAAGAAACTTAACACAAAACCTCAAAAGTTGTGATTGAAAGATGATAGCTGACGAACTGATTCTTGTTTTCTTTCTCCTGATGCGTTTCTCTTCTTGCTGCAGATCATTGCTGCTACTCCACCTAAGTGTGCTGCTCTTTTAATTTCTCCCCTCTTTTATTGTTTGTCCTTTTTTTTCCTCTGGTTGGCCCCGCAGCCATGTCGTGCTGGTACTCTGGCAGTCTTCCTCACTACTCTTATAATAGTCACAGACTAAATGTGCATAATCTGAAAGTAAGAGACTAAATGTATAAGTGGTATAATAATCGTAGGACCAAAAATGGAATTTTTTCCTATTTGTTTCTTTGTTTTTTCTTTTTGTTTTTTACGCAGTTTAGCTGCATTTTTTTTTACTATTTTTATACTTTACTTCATTTGTTTATTGTATTCAAAGAACCGGTTCAAATGCATAAATGATACCTTAACCATCGGTAATGTTTCATTTTAGTATCTTAAGTCTTAAATGAATCAAAAGGATACCTTAATTATACATAAATGTTTCGAATTGAGATTTTATTCAAATTTCCATCGAAAAATCACGTGTAACGGTCAAAATTATGTACGTAAAGTCTATTTCACCTTAGTTTTGTTCATTTGATCACTACTCCGTTTTACTTCACATGAAGGATTTTTTGGTCAGAAATTTGAACAAAAATTCAAATTGAAAATTCATGTATAGTTAAGGTACCGTTTTGATTCATTAAAGAGTTAACGTACCAAAATGCAACATCACGGATAGTTGTACCATTTATGCATTTGATCCCAAAGAGCCCTTATATATTGAAATATAATAGATCGAAAGTTAACATTTCACAAATTACAAAATAAAATTAAGAACAAATCACTAAAAAACTTCAGCTTCAAAATTAATTTCAAGCATTCACAAAAATGAAGTAAACACAGAGAAAAGTATTCAGTTTGCATTGAGCTTAACAGAAGGAATTTTATCAATTCAGACCCGAAAGATAAATGAATTATCAATCCGACGTGAAAGATGAAATGTGTCGATATAGGACCCGAATGATGGAAAACTATCAATTTAGGACTTGAATGATTGGAAATTATCAATTTAGGACCTAAGTTGTCTGAAATTTTATTAATTTTTCAATCTTAATTTTTTAAATATTATTTAGTTTTATGAAACTAATAAACTTTTGTGAAGAAAAGTTTATCAAAAATTAGCAATGGAATTAATAAAAAATTAAATAAATCATAACCTATGAAATCTTAGGTCCTAGATTGATAGTTTTTCATCATTTGGGTCCTATACCGATAGATCTTATCTTTCAGGTCCCGAATTGATAATTCATCTTTCGGGTCCTGAATTTTTAAAATTCCCTTGATGGAAAGTATATGATCAAATTGGACTTATCAGGCATGGAATCAATGTTTGTGCATAAGAATTAATTATTTGTATACAGGCAAAACCCGTTTGTGCTTATACGTTTTCTGCCTGTCGCCAAACAAAATTGTTAAATATCGACAAAAAATGTACAAATTGTCTGTGTATAGACAACTAATGTTTGTACGAGTATCGGTTTGCACGTTATTTTGCAGCAAATGTCATAGTTTGGTTGCACGGAAACCAATGTTCATACATAGACATTATTGTATGTGCACAAACAATTTGCTCATTTTTTGTCTCTACTTAGCAATTTTGTCGGGTTAACAACATCCAAGCCTTATTATAAAAATGTATAGTTATAGACATTTCTTGTCTATGTACAGACAACTAATGAATGTGCACCGGCATTGATTTTCATGCAACCAAACACCGTTGATTATGTAAAAAAAAACTCAAATCAATGTGATTTTCATGCAAACCAACGTCCCTATATAGAAATTAGTTGCCATACAGCCAAACAATGTCTGTATTTATACATTTTTTATTTGTGTACAACTGTACACAATATAGGGGTGTTTGGATCTGATTCTTAAAACTGCTTTTGCTCCTTCACGGAGCAGAGACAGAAGTTGAAGTGTTTGGGTGAAAGTGCAGAAGTGATTCTGGTGCTCTAATTTACTCCTAGAATCAGTTTTTTTAGAAGCTGGGGGTGACCAGCTTCTGAAAACTGATTTTGATTTTACTTCTGTTTTAAAAAAGAAGCAGAAGCAGAATCAGTTCCAAACACCCCCTATATACATTGATTTATGTGCAACCTAACCTTGCCTTCCATGCGACTTTTTTTGCATGTGTACAAAGATTGAAAAATAAGTGTGTGTGTATAAACATTTTTTGTCATTGGTGAAATTTTACAAAATCTTACTAAATTTTTCGGTTTCCTTTTTCCTAACAAACAATTTGATAGAACATATATCTAGAGAGAAGTGCAAGTGATGCTTCAATAGAATGATTTGTCACCCCTATAACTACCTCCAGAGGAAGTATTTATAGGAAAAATACGGGCTGGGCTCCCAAGCCTTGGGCTTGGGAGGCCCATTTACAACTGGACCGCTATTGGGCCGAATACAGAGCCACTGGTGGGCTATATAAATGAATAAGTGTAAAATCCGGTTCTGTGAGACTTCCGTGGCCGACGGGGGTCTTGGCTGACGAGGGCACGGCCGATGAGGACACCCTGGTTCCTTGGCTTTAGGATCATATTCTGAGTTGGTCCGTCTTCGGCCGACGAGGGTCTTTGGCCGACGAGGGCACCGCGTAGTGGCTGTGCTTTCTGTTCTGAGTACGTGGGTCCTGGGGCCTAGACCCATATACTCCATCAGGAGTCCCCCACTCTCTAAGCTGAGATGTAGACGAAGCGAGGGAGAGTAGATTTCTGTGCTTGATGCTTCTTGGCCGATGCGGGACCACGTTGGCCGTTCCCTGTCGCGGCGTTTGGTGGCCCTGTTCTGAGTTTGGCTGTTGCCTGCCCCCTGATGCGGACGGGGAAGGCTATTGTTCCTTTGGTGCGCTTTGTTTGTTGGATGATGAGTGTTCTGGCACGAGTGGCCGATGAAGGTAGTGTCTATCCTTGGTTGTTGACTAGGTAAGTTTCCCTTTTGGGCTGGTGAGGCCGTAGGGGTTGCGTCTTTGTTTTGGGTGGCCGATGAGGGCACTGCGCATTCCTTTTGGCCGTTGTTAATGATGCCCTATGTTTTTGGACGACCAGGCGTCATGTTGCCCAAGGTTATTGGGGATGATAACACTGTCTGGCCGAAGATGAAGTTGTGAGGACCTCAGGGCCGTTGCGGTACATGGACGACAGTGATTTAGGTATGTTAACCTTTCTCTTGATTCCTGGCTTGAGAGTGATGTGTGGTTTCAAGGCCGATAAGTGTCCTGTGATCTCAAGCTTTGATGTGGCCGAAGGTGCACCATGATGTTATGGACGTTGTGGTGCATGTCTTGATACTGTAGTTGTGGACTTAGTGTATTTTTTGGATTTCTTTTGATTTTGCTTGTTATTCTTGAGGCCGGTGTAGTCCCCCAGTCCCCCACTTCTTCAGCCCGAAGAGTGAGTGAGGGGTGAAGGAGTAGATTGAAACCCAGGCCGAAGCGGGCTTCTCACATTGCCCTTGGATCCAACCCTTTGGCGATTTCCTGACCAAGGTAACCCTGTGGGAGAACCCTTGGACGCAGGTCGCTTTCAAAGGGTTATCATCAAGGGTTTAGTGCGAGGGCCTCGTGACCGTTACGTTCCTTTCTTTTGGGATATTGTGGCCGTCTAGATGGCCGATACGGGTGCTGTGGGGTAACCGTTGTCTGTTGTTGGCCGTTGAGTGCCCTGGCCGTTGTGAGTGTTATTCTCCCCTTCCTCGTTCCGTAGAGTCTGCTTTGCCAGTGGGCTCTTGATCTGTGGATTGGGCTTGGCCCATTAGTTTCGTGGTGGCGTCCCGTTGGTGGCCGTTGGTGTGGCCACTGGGAGGATGCCACGTGTAGTGACCGTTGGGTGGGGGGTTCTATAAATACCCCTCTCTATCCGACGAGAGCTCTCATTTGCAATCTGAGCTATCGAAGTGCTGGCCAAATTCCTAGAGAGATAAACTTCAAAGCAAGTGTTCTTCGTGTTCTTCGTGTTCTTCGTGTTCTTCAAGGTTAGTGTTCATCGAAATCTCTGTACTTTGTATATTTTGCTTCCTAGGCTAGTGATCTAGTGTTAGGCGTTTGAACACCCTTAGATCTCGAAGTAGGTTGCCGTATACTCGAAATAGTGTTTAAGATGAAAGACTTCAACGAAGAGTACTACCCCTACGACGACGAGCCCTCCACCAAGTCCCTTGACTATGAAGTGGTCGAGGAGTTCTGTGAGGAGCTTGAGAATCTGAGTTCGTTCAAGTCCGGGGAGCAGGATGATGAGGACGGTGAGGAAGAGGGGTCTGCGTCATCGTCTGGAGGTGGGGACGTAGGGGTCTCCCGAACTGCTGATGGGGCGTCCACGTCGGCTGCCATCCCATGCCCAAAACCGGTGTCTGCTGTGAAGGGTGTTGCGCCGCCGAAGAGGGTGAGGAGGCCGAAGAGAGGGCCAACCTTCTCGTATTTGGATCTGACGAATATCTACATTATCAGGCCGTAGAGTAATGTGGGTGAATACCTGGTTGCACAGATGTATGTGGGGCCGTATGGTAGGGTTAGGGCCCCCAGGCCGACGGACCATGTCCTTAATCCACCCCCGGGCTACTTTGGAGTGTACCCGATGAGCTTTGCCAAAGGACTTAGGTTCCCGCTTCATCCCTTTATCACCGAGTACCTAGATATGGTGGGGCTCCCTCCGGCCTTGTTGACGCTGAATAGCTACTCGCTCATCGTCGGCTTCCTATTGCGGTGTGCTGAATTGGATTTCAGGCCGACGACGGCGCTGTTTATGAACCTATACCAGATAGGCCGCGGAAGTCACCAGAACTATTCGTCGTATGCCACTCTCCAACAACTCCCCAAGAAAAGAAGTTTCACAGACCTGCCGACGTCCATCCATGGTTGGAAATGGAAGTTTGTGTTCGTATCGTTGGGTGAAGGGGTGTAGAGTTTCCTTCCGTCGGCCATAGTGGACGGTTTAATCTTCATGACACGCCGAGGAGCTCAATCCTGGACGCTCAGGTTGAGGCTTTCCTGAAGGGAGGGCCGAGGAGTGTGAAGACGTACATTACCGAGTACAAAATGGCCGCCCTCGGCTTCGTACGGTATTTTGTGTATGGTGACAATGACGACGATGTGGAGTTGTGGCCGAAGATGACCACGTCTT